GGCATACGCTGCTTGGACAAAACACCATCGGCTAAACAATATTCTTTATTTTCATTCAGGCTTTCCAATTTGATCCGTAGACAAATGTATATCTACAGCACATCGGCTGTTGTAGGACTACAAGTCCCATGATGCATTGCAAGACTGGCAGCTACAAGCATGTCTCCCACAGGCAAAGCCTTGTTGGGATTTGTAGTTTCACCACGGCTGGAGTGCAGAGGTTGCTTACCCCTGATCTAGATGGAGGAACTTCATTTCTTTCTCGGTCATAGAGGGACACAGGAAGTCTTTAACCTTCGGGTTATACTGCTGCCTACTGGAACATTGGACAGGGGCAAACCAAAAAACTGTAGGTCAAGGATAACCCTTTCTGCTACCAGCATGCCTCCCATTTTCCCAGTGTCCTAGAAGAATGGACATTGTCTTTTTTTTTTACTCAAGACTCTTCTCTACATCACTGCTGGAGCTTGGCCTCAACGATTACAACTGTCTGGCGCAGTCGTCCTCAGTCTGGCTTTTAAATATTACTTCTGGACCCTGCTGGACTGAATGTTGCAGGGACAACCTGCAAGTGAACTTTGGGTACTGGGTTCCATACTGGGTGCTGCTTTCCAGAACACAATCTGGTAAAAAGGAGCACTCTCCAGGTCCAGAGTCCCTGGCTCTGAAGACTCGCTTAGCGAGTAGGCCCGTCGGGCTTAGCATTGGGAGCTGTCTTAGTTACGTAGATCATTGGGCGCCTTTATTAAATGTTCCCGCCGGGTACTGAGGCAGAAGGGGCTAATGCTGTGAGATTGAGCGTGGATATCATCTGCAGGACGACGTGTCATGCATACTCTCCTTCCCACCATATAGCATTGAGGAAGCATCTCCCTGCTTGATGCTCTTGCTAGCAAAGAGCCACATGGAACTTCGATCTCTGATCTGTTCCTGCTGCATACGGTGTATTCTGGCTTGGGGCTGCCCTAGGCAACACGCAACTTGGACACCACCCACTAAATCTGCAGGATCTCAGGGGGGCTGGCTCTGCCATAGACCCCGCAGAGCCCACCACAGATCCTGCAAAGCCCTCCTGAGATCCTGCAGTGCCCACCCGAGACTCTCAGGTGGGCTGTGCAGAATCCATGCTGGGCTCTGCAGGGTCCCTTTAGCAGGAGTGTGATCCTCTTACCTGCTGCTTGGTCCCCAGGTGACGATGGAGCATGGAGACGGCTTCCCTGCTAATCGGGAAGCCGTGTGGCGAGTCTTTACACGCCGCCCGGCTTCCCGGCTAATTAGGAAGCCAGGTGGGTAGTCATTACACGCCGCCTAGCTTCCTTGATGGGACTTCCCATATCAGTATCGGCAAGTACCGAAAAAAAATATATGTACTCGATATATTTTTAAGCGGTATCGGTGCATCCCTAGTTGTTACATGTTGGCCTTTGACAGCTGTGGCACTGCGATGGTTAAGGCGTGCCTGAGAAGGTAAGGGCTGCAGAGGGGGGAATGATCTCTAGTAACACAGCGAGTATATAATTACACCAATAGGCTCATTCAGTCACTTGACCTGTTACAGTTCTATGGAGACAGCATACAACCTGAAAGTGATCCCTGAGCGCAAGGTTGACAAAACACGATGTTCTGAAATACATTACACTCTGCCAGGAAAAGCCAAGCTTAGCAGAAGGCGACGTGTCGTGGCTGTCCTTCCATCTGTCGCCAAAATATAGCAATTGGTATTTTCAATGTCTTAAAGTGATATCAAAGCCAAAATGTGGTTTTAAAAGTTATTTCAAATGCCGATGAAATCTATTATAATGGAAGTTTTAGATTCCTGTAGAACCAACTAAGTCCCATGAGCGCTGGTCCTGATATCTGTTTTAGGGTGGCTCCTCTCCCTTGCAGGGTCCTATGGAGTCACCCTTGTGCAGCAGCGCCGCCCCCTCCCCCGCAGCTTCTCGGAAAATCCCCCCTCCCCTGACTGACCCGCCGCTGCTCATACAGCA